AGCTGGCCCCTGGCTAGTGCCATTTCTCACTTGCCTGTGTTGTCCTGTTTTTGTAGAGCTTTGCCTTCAGATTGGGATCAAGAATGACCAGTGACAAAGTGCTGTCAGTTTGTTTTCACAGAATCACTGACTATGCTGACTTGGAAGGGACCCACGAGGATCATCAAGGCCCTGCACAGGACCATCCCCTACAGTCACATCATGTGCCTGGGAGCATTGTCCAAATCCTTTTGAACTCTGTCAGGCTTGGTGCTGTGACCACTTCCCTGGGGAGACTGTTCCTGTGCCCAGCCATTCTCTGGGGAGAGAACCATTTCCTGATATCAAACCTAAACTTCCCCTGGCACAACTTCATGCCATTCCCTTAGGTTCTGTTGCTGCTCACCAGAGAGAAGAGATCAGTGTCTGCCCCTCCTTTTCCCATCATGAGGAAGTTGTAGACTGCCATGAGCTCTTCCCTCAGTCTCCACCAGACTGAACAGACCAAGTGACCTCAGGCATTCCTCATCCAGCTTCCCCTCAAGGCCCTTCACCATCTTTGTTGTCCTCCTTTAGATGCTCTCCAATAGTTTAATATCTCTCTATACTGCGGCACCCCAAAACTGCCCCCAGCACTCGAGGTGAGGCTGCCCCAGTGCAGAGTAGAGCAGGACAATCTCCTCCCTTGCCTGGCTGGTGATGCTGTGTTTGATGCACCCCAGGACACCACTGGCCCTCCTGGCTGCCAGGGCACTGCTGACTCATGTTCCACTTGCCATCAACCAGGACTCCCAGGTCCCTTTCCAAGGTGCTGCTTTCCAGCCTCTCAGTCCCCAGTCTGTCTGTACATCCAGAGTTGTCCCATCCAGATGCAGATTCCAGCACTTTCCCTCATTTAACCTCATATGGTTGGTGATTGCCCAGTCCTCTCGTTTGCCAAGGTCTCTCTGCTGGGCCTCCCTGCCCTGGAGAGTGTCAACAGCTCCTTCCAGTTTTGTGTCATCTGTGACCTTGCTTAGTATCCCTTCCAGTCCTGCATCCAAGTAATTTATGAAGATATTGAAGAGCACAGGGCTGAGGATGGAGCCCTGGGGAAACCTATCAGTGACAGGTCACCAGGCCAATGTCACCCCACTCCCTGTAACCCTTTGTGTCTGACTGGTGAGCCAGTTGCTCACCCATGGCGTGATGTGTTTATCCAGCTGTGTGCCTGACATTTTGTCCAGAAGGATACTGTGAGAGAGAGTATTGAAAGCTTTACTGACTGGGAAGAGAACAGAGTTTAAAAAATCAAGGTCTCTATCCAGTCCAGGATTTATTCCATGTACAAAGGTAAGAAGCAGCATGATTTACTACGTTCTGTAGAAATATGTAAATTATTCACTTTTCCATTGCAAAGTGAGCTGGCAAAGTGAAACTTTGGGTAGCCCCTATGGCTTCTGGGCTCTTTTTTGATCACACACACATATATAAATATACAAAGAATATATATATACATATGTGCATTTGTACATACTCTACATTTATATAAAATAAATATATAAAGAGAGAGAGATGTGCATATATACTTGTATGTATAGAATCACAAAATCATTCAGGTTGGAAAAGACCTCTAAGATCATCGAATCCAATCATTCCCTAACATTGCCAGGACCACTACTACACCATGTCCCTAAACACCTGCACTTGAACACTTCCAGGGACAGTGCTTCCACTACTTTTCTTGTTCCAATGCTTGAACATCCTTTTAGTAAAGAAATTTTTCCAAACATGCCATCTAAACCCCTCCTAGCACACCTTGAGGCCATTTCCCTTTTCTCTGTTGCTGGTTGTCTGGGAGAAGAAACTGACCCCACCTGGCTATGCCCTCCTGTCATGTGGCTGTAGAGAGCAATAAGGTCAGCCCCGAGCCTCCTTTTCTCCAGGCTCAACAGCCCCAGCCCCCTCAGCTGTTCCTCCTAAGACTGATGGTCCAGACCCTTCACTGGCTTTGTTGTCCTTCTCTGGACAGGCTCTAGCAGCTCGTGTTGTCACACTTACACTTCTCTACAAAGATATTATTTTTGAGACAGTACCCCTGAAAAATTCTGCTTCACTTGTGTGTTGGCTCCTTAATATCTTTACTAGCTCACATTCCTGGTGTCCCAAACAGAGGCACAAAATTCCCCTCTTCAGCCCCTGAGCCTCCTGAGTGTGTGCTGCTCTACCAACACTGTGCACTGCCTCACCAGCACCATTAGACCTTTTTCTCCTCCTAGATCTTGGAGACCCAGGCAGGCTTACGTTCAAGAGCAAATAGAGGGCAAGGCTTGTGTAAACTCTGTAGTGTGGAAGCCCCTTCTTGGCAGTTTCCCGTTTTAGTGAACAATTTACTGCAAAATTAATTGCAACAAAATGTGCTCTACAGCCTCTGGATACAGATAAATTTTATTAGGGGTAATAGAGAACTGGCCTTTGTTAGATCAAAATAAAACAATGCTTGATTAGTGCAAGAGACAGTACACTAAGCAAACAGCAGCTTAGTTACCTCCTGGCCACTGAAACCCTGAGTAGTCCCTGAATATAATGAAGTGTAAATCTCAAAGGATTCCATTTAAAGATATCTTTTCTTGGATTGTATCTTCTCTATTGAAAAGCCAACCCAACAACCAGCTGACTGACTGAGAGCTTGCCAGTAGAAATCACATATGTGTGAGAGACAAAAAAAGCAGTGAAGAAGAGGGAAGGAGAAAGAGAAAAGGAGACAGAGGAAATCTGTCAGAGCACATTGGGAAATCCTTGTGGTAAGGCATTTGAATCAGCTTTTGACTATCAAATGTCATAAGTTTTAATATGTGCAGTGTGAGATGTAAATGTGGTTGCTTTAAAACAAGGTCTACAAAAAAACTCTCCACTCTTATGGACTTTCTACCATGGAATTGAAATCAGAGAAAGCTGATCGGGGATTTTGGGTAGGAAATAACTGTGTCTACTTCATCAAAGTCACCATGCATTAGATGCAGAAAGAGTGGGCTTTTGTGCCATCATGCTGGCTACAAGTTTGTTTGAGTATGCAGTGGCTGGGGATGGGGAGGATTCTGCTGAGTCCTGGAGTTTTCATTACAATTTGCACACCTCTCCAGAGAAGTCAGGATTCATTTGGTATTTATGTCATTCCCACCAAAAAAATGGAAGATGGTGAAGAACATTTGCCAGGCAACTTTTTTTTTTTTCATTTCTGAAAAATATCTCTGCCAGCTTGTATAATAAAATACATGGGAAAGAAACACGATGAACCACAATATAATCTCTCCCTGCAGTTTTCTCAAACCACTTAGATGCAGGCTCTCATTTTTATGGCTCCCTGTTTCCCTGTACCAGTTGTCCCTTGTCCTGAAAAAACAATTGCTAAAAAAGGCTGGGATTCACCCCATTCCCATGAGCCTTTGTCCTTCCAGAGAGGAAGGCAGAGGCACCTCCTGGCAATGAGAGCTTTTGCTGCTGGAGAGAGAACCATCTCCAGCCCCTGCAAATGTGCAGTAAGGTGGGTGTCTGAGCCAGCCTGGTCCTGCCCTGTGGACTTCTGATGGCTGGACAAATGGTTGCCATTAAACTTACACCAGGGAAGCACAGAGCTTCTGAGCACAGGTTTTGGGGTCCGTGGCTCCATGCATTTGGCTGTGAGTGAGGAGACTCAGAATAACACAAGCCCAGTCACTAAGGGTGAGAGGGGAGGTCAGATGGCAAAGGGAAACACAGCCCAAGGTCTTTCCCACCTTTTCTTCTTGTGTCATGCAATAGCTTTCTTCTGCACAGCAAATGATGCAAACGAGTCTGCACACAGCCTCCTACACCCCATCAGCATTTCACAGTGAATGAGGCAGGTAACCTTGGCAGGAGTGCATACAACCTTGAAATTCAAGGCTGTATCATAGGACAGGTGAATAAACAGGACTCTTTAAGGTTGTCTGTGCAATGTCATTCCCAATGTGTACAGATCCTGACTGCTTATTTGTCATCATTAGTATTGACTTCTAGGGCAGCAGGGGAACCTACACCCCGTAATGGAATCTGTCACTCCACACGGGTGGCTCTGGCTGCCCACCCCACCTGGCAGGAACTTGCAAGGTCCTGGCTGATCTGGGCTGGGGTCACTTCCCCGGGTGGGAGCTGCTCTGGGTGCACAGAGGGACAAATGGCCCTCGAGCTGCTCAAAGGGGGCCATGGCTTTGTTGCTGTCTGGGATGGTCCCTGCTGCAGAGCTGCCCCATGCACGTGTCCCTCCAATGTCCTCTAACACGGCAACTCCCTGCAGGATGCTAACAAACCCTTCCCTTGTACAGGCTTTCTAGGCAGCTCTTCTGGGCTGCTCTCACTCACAGCCAGAGAAATAAAACCCATCCATCTACTAACCTCCCCCCCGGCTGCCAGAATAGGCTTTTTCCCAGAGATTTAGACAATCAGAAAGAATATTGGATTTTGGGGAAATGTAACGTTTTATGGCAAATAGCTCTACATAAGGTACAAAACAGTTTTTGGAAAAACAGCTGATGAAATTTTATAGCCAAAGCTGTGAAAAAATAAACAGGATAGCAAGGAAAAGACTTTTCTTGGTGATGAAGTGTGATGAAATGTCATTTCAGGAAGACACAGATATTTGCTTTAATATCAATGAAAACAGGCAATGGGTCACCTGTCTATAAAGACCATGTGATTGAAAATGTCTGTTATTCACATCTCGGTCAAAATAAATTTAAATCTAGGCCGTAAATTCCTAGTTTCTTAAAAATTCAGAAGTATTTTTCCATCTGTTCTGTAATAATTCAGCTCTCTGGTTGCTATAAAGAATTTGGTCGTCTGCCATTTGGGCAGGGAGTCATTTTTTAAAATGCATTTAAGTCTCGTGGTATCTGAAAGTCATACAATTATGGAGCTAATTAAATCAAGCTAGAGTTCCCCATCAAAAAATGCAATCTTTGACTCACGCTGGGGAGGTGCTTTGGGTGGAGAGGGGTTCACTTCAGCTGAGCACACAGCGTACAAAGGCGCCTCATGGAAAACGTTGCTGTGGTGTACAAATCCTACAGTGCAAATCCACAGCACCAGGCCAGATGCCACAGGTGCTGCAGCTCAGGAGTGTCAGCTCCATCCACCTAAGCCACTGGCAATAAAAGAATGCCCTTTTATGTGCCACATTCACCAAGAACCTCATCTTAGACCCACTGCCGAAGGAGGGACGCCGTTGCTTCCTTGCTATGTGCCTGGGGCAAGGAGGAGTGTGTGGTACCCAGTCAGGGAGAAATCTTCCCTTTGGAAAAGGAGGGGGACAGAGCAATCAAATGCTTAGCCACGCAGATCCAAAGCTCAGTTTTACTACATCATTTCCAGGAATTTGTCTACCACTTCTCCCATTTATATGTGGTGGTTGGTGAAAGACTTTTTCCAGGTGGATGGGTGCATGTGGAACAGAACAGAACATATTCCCCAGCCTTTTTTTTTTTTTTTTTTTGTCAAATTACAAAGCAAATGTAAATGCATGGGCAAGAAATGGAGGTCACCAAGGCAAGAAGGGATGGGATCTGAAAAACGTTGCATACAAGGTCATTGTGGTATTTGGCAAATCACTCGATCTCAAACCTCAAACCCAAATTCAGCACATCTCCAAAGTATTATTGTCCAGACTGGATGGTTTTGATCTGAAGAGTCTACAAGTCACCCAGCCTTACTGATGAACTAAATTACTTGAAATAAATAAATATAATAAATAATAAACTTTAAATAAGAAAGACCTCAAGTAAAGCAGTTCAGATGTTTCCATCCTGGAGTTTTATTCTGATATGGAAGTGAAAAAATTAAAAGTATTTCCATATCCTACATTTTACAAAACACTTGAAAATATTGGAGCTCTATTTAGCACTACTGTTAGACAGAGGTTAGGGGAAGGGAGGAAGAAGGTCTGGCAGGAGGTGAAAAGGAGAGAAAGGTAAAGATGAGGGTAGGCTGCCCTAGATTAAGCTCAAATCCAAGGATCACAAGAATCAAACAACTGGTCCCTGTGTCCAGAGCTCAGCCATGCATGGAATGTTGCTGTCTCCTATGAACCAGGAGGGATCTATGGAAGAGCCAGGCAACATCCCAGACAAGACCTTCTCCAGGGAAGGCTGGGTCAGCCTTATGCAAACCCTGATTGTTTTATTCACTTTTCTGTCTTGACACCATGAACTCAAGCATCTCTGATTTTTGAACAGTCAGCAATTTGCCCTCCTGCATGCTGTACCAGTGCCCATTCAAAACAAGGAACAGGAATAGCAAACATGCACAGTGCCCTGAGCTGGCTGGGGACAGAGACAGAGGCATTTACAGAGCAATCTGCTGAACACAAGACCCCTTACTAAGCTGTAGCCTGATTTCACTCCCCAGAACAAATTCTCCTTCCCTCAGGACCACAGTCCCCTTTTTGCCAGGTGTGAGGCATCCCAGTGGCACTGCTCCCACTGGTGCTGAGCCCACTGGAGTGGTGTGGTGGGAGAGACCCAGCCTGGCAGCAGCATTGGAAGGGCTTGAGGCACCGGGGGTTCCTGTCTTTCTTTAGTTCTGCCTTTGCCCCAGGGTTGCACAGAGAGCTGGGCAGTGAGCAGGCAAATAAAGTGAAATCAAATTATTTTTCTCAAATGCCCCATTTTTCTTTTTTCCTTTGGAAAGCAGCTTTCCCCCCACCTCTGTTTATCTCCACTCTCCTGTATTCTTTCCTTCTCTGTTCAGTTTGTTCAATTTCTAATCACTGTTAGTGAGAGAGAAGAAAGTGACAAAAGATGTGCAGCCATCCCACACAACATTGTGGAAAACATTTTCAAACAGACCAAATTAAAATAACTTTAACCTTTGGGAAAATATACATGGTGTGGTTCTTGAAGTGTCCTGACCTGGACTCAATGATCCTGATGGGTCCCCTTCAACTTAGAATACTCTATGATTCTGTGATTTTTTTTTTCACCAACTCAGGTAGAAGAGAAACCATCTCCTCTTTTTTTCTTTTTTTCTTTTGCTTTGCATTGCTCTGCCCCATACTTGCAAAATTTTTCCTCTGTTCCTGCATTTCAGCTGAAATTCTAGAAGAAAATGTATGAAGACCAACAGGAGGTGTAAAAGTCATGCATCTACCTTGTGCCCAGGTTTTCTCCCTCTCTTCTTTGGGATCTTCACGACTGGCAGAGCACCAGCTGGTGCTGAGAAGAGGTTGTGAACAGCCATTTTGATGGGGGCTGGCTGCAGTGGGGGTCTCCCTCGCTTCTTCCCTGCCATCCTGGGGGACTGCATCTCCCCAGCAGCCAGGCTAGGGTCCAGGCACGGTGGGTGGCTCATCTGCCCTAAGGAGACAAAAAAACCAAGCAAACCAGCTCTTTATTTAATTTTCATTTTAGGGTCTTTTTAATCTGAAGGCAGTTCTCTCAATGCTGTCATTTTCCACCTTACTGTTGCTCACAAAGAAGCAAGAAACTCACCGTGGATGTATGACCTTGGGTGGGATTCACCTGGCCACAGCCTTATCTTCACCTGACCACAAAACCCTTATCCTTCCTGTTTCTCTCTCCTGACCATGAGTACAGTAGAGGGAGTTGCTCAGCTGGTGAGGCTTCTGTTGCAGATATCCAATAGGTGAATTCCACAGCCTTGGGAATACCACCTCAACCCTGCATCTTGCAGATGAGTGTGATGAAAGCTCGAGTTTGCAGCCATCGGTCAGAGGGGGGGGTTTGGAGTAGATGATCTCCTAAAGTTCCTGCCAACCTGTTTTTTTCCCAGAAATTTGGTTCTGCAAATCCTGCTTCACCTCAGAAATACTACCAGTACTGGAATGGACTTCTCTTCACCCACAGCAGTCCTGAGTGAGGAGGCTGGGCTGGGCCACGAGGCTGCCAGCACAAGGTAGCCATGATAGAGGGTGATTGCCAAACATTTCCTCTCTGCAATTTTATAACATCTGTTACCACGCATGTTAGTAGTGAGCTTTTGGATGCACTCCATGAACGCAGTTACTTCACCACAACTCCATGCAGCTGCTGAAGTTGAGCAGGGGTAATGGAGTGGAATCTGGTCCATTTTTCCTCTGCCCAGATTTTAATAAAGAAAACAAATGTACAACCATACACACAATACCAAGGGAATATATAGCATCCTTCACAGCTTCTAGTAAGGGTCACCTACAAACAAAGGTTAATTTTAAAAAAAACTGCAGTAGAAATATGTTTGTTTTCAAATGTTGTTTTGTCCAGGCATTTTATTTCCTGCATATGGGCAGAATAGTAGTCCCAGTCCTGCCTGCATACATTGCTAGACACAAAGGTCTAAGCAATTCTCATACTTTTATGATAAGCCAATGTTGTTAAAATTGTGCTCCCTCAGGCCAGTGATAATGGAAGACTCCCTGTTTTCTGGGTTTTTTTCACAGAGCAGGCTCATAGCTCTCTCAGCTTCAGAGAAAACCTAAAGATGTGGTTCAAGAGCATCCTCAATATAAAGCAAATTAAGGTTTGTTTATTACTACAAACAACTACAATTTTAAAAAATCTATAAACTATAAAATCTACACATTTTTCAGAGCACTTCAAATTTCACAGTTTCAAAACTCAGTGTGATCAGAGCCTGATGTTGCTGGGAATGAAATCAGGATTGCTCAGTCACATAGTGGGAAGGGTATCACTTGATAGGGGCCTCTGGTGACAAGTATCTGCAGCTGGGGGCTTCTTTGTTTCAAAGGCAAGTATGTTATGCCTAGTTAAAGCTCTGCAAATGTGACTAACCAAAAAGAAACCTGCTTTTATGGTATTATCCACTCTGTAGTTTACACAATCTCCTGTATGATAGAAAAATAGAGCCCTACCCTCCAGTAAATGCATTTATTTGCAATGTGTTAAAACCTGCATGCTTTCAGTAACGCTTGGGGTATCTGCTCTGTTCAGATAGTTCCACTATACATGATGGGAAAACTCTCTTACTATATATGATGCCTAAAACTCTCATACTGAATGTCAAACATCAGAGCAGAGCAAACTTGCAGTGCCTGATTTACTGCATTGCCCAGAGCCACTGTGGTTGTGCTCACTCTCCAGGCACTCTCAGCCAGCTTGGGAACCCCATGAAAACCTCCCTGGGGCTCTGATTTTTACCAAAGAAAAGTCTCAAGTGACTGCAGAGAGTGTCCTTCCAGGGTTAAAATCATCAGGCTTGCCACAGCAGGAGTTAAATGGAAAGGCCCAGCTTCTCCTGAGCATCACTGCTTTCCTTCTGTCTTCAGCAGTGTTTATTTTCCTCCCTGCAGTGCTTTCTGACGGACACCCTCGGTGCCTCTTCCACCTCCCAAAACAAAACATTCCCAGGATCTTACATTACAGGCTGTGTGTCGGCAGGGAATTCAGCAGGGAAAGGAAATGCAACAATTACACTGGATTTGGCTCCAAAACACACTGAAAGCCCAGTGCTGCAGGCTCTGCATTTTGGTCTGCTTTAAACAAAACCTGGCAAGATCAGCCTTTGCAGAGGAGCTTGGCAGAGGCTGAGGAAGACAAATCCAGCCCAGGTTTGCTCTCTGCTTGAGGGAGGGAGTGGTTCCTACAGAAAGGGCCATGTTGGCCATGGGGCTGTGAGAGAGAGGCTGTGCACCTGCATGGAACACCACACTGCATTGTCTGTATCATGTTCTCATCTGATAAAAGTAGCTGACAGCAACTCAGAAACTCTGAGTTACCAACTCCCAAAACAAAGGTACTGACCCAGAGCACTTCTTTGTCTGAAATGTTGCTTTCTTTCCAGCTGGTGACGTATTAAACACGTGGTGGTCAGGAAACACACTAAATTTTAACAACCAGAGTTTTTGTGCTGCTTCTGCACTCCCAATACTTGTGACATTGTGCTTTGGCAAAACCTCTTAGAGCTCCTCACCGCATGTGCTGACACACAAGACCCAGATGAAGTGTGCACAAAAGGATCTCAGTGTAACATACTTGATTTGATACAGCAAAGACATTGTCAGCTTCAGTATACAAGCTGTTGTAATTACATTTTATTACAAGCCCAGCCGTGACTTGATTCTCCTTTCTTGTGTGCTGAGGGAAATGTGAGTGCTTTTGGTGGCATTTATTGTCAGGCTGCTGCAGATCCTGCGAGGCAAAGGTGCTCCCCAGCAGCAGGGGAGGGCAGCAGGCAGGCAAAAACTGCTTCTGCCTGACAGTGAGGGGTCACAGCACGACCTTCCCTGACAGCCAGCAGGGAGCTCTTGGGCAGGCTGGAAAAACACACAGTGAAATTGCAGGTTGGCCAGAGAGGTCAGAGGGACATAAAGGCTTGTCTGACTGCCCCCCAACAAAGTCTGAGTGTTACCTTGGAATGACTTTCCTAGGGCAGCTCTGACTGCTGCCACAGCCTGGGCTTGACCCACAGCTCAGTGCTGGAAAGCCTGGTGGGTTCAAGGCAAGTTATGAGAGTTTGATGAAATTTAAGGGCAAATTCAAGGAAGGAAATTACAGGCTACTAGCAAAGGCATTGCCTCAGTTCAGGAAATCACTGTAGTACAAATAGCTCAGGAGGATGCTATAGCAGGGAAATCACTATGTGTTTGCCCTGTCCTTGTACTTTTCCAAAGGCACTAGCTTTGGATGGCCAAGGATGGTGCAGCTTCAGTCTGACCTGATCCCTTTTGTATTCTTAGTTTAAAAATACCAGCAGGAAACTACATTTATGGCTTCTCATCATTTAATGCGGGGCTAGACACAGGGCAACCTCTCCTGACTTAATTCTCAAGCACTGTCATTTGGAAATACAATTTCTAACACTGCCTTCCACATTGCCCCATCAGATCCCAGAGAGGAGGCAGTAGGGAAACCCCTCTCCCCACCTTGACACCTGGGCAAGCACTGCAGGAGGGGTGAAGTCTCATCCCCTCCGGCAGCAGAGGTTTAGCTGTGACTTCAGAGGATCCTGAGGAGCACCCTATGCACAGCAGTCTGCCCTGTGGGATGCCAGGGGCGGGGAGAAAACATTCCCTAGACCAACACTGGTGAGCTCTAGGATGTTTCTAACAGCCCATGGTTTGCCCCATCCGTGCCTTGCACCATGTGTTAGTGTGTATGCTGTACAATTAGCAACACAGACTACCATGCTGGAAGCTACAGCTGAGAGCAGAGAGAACTACGGTGCATTTCCTCCCAAGCTGAGTGTTTTTGATGGACCGCAAAGATCCATTCTTAATAAAAATAAATGTCTGCAATAAATGCAGCTTTTAACCTGCACTCAGTAACTGCAAGGACCAAAGGTAAAAATACCACATTAAATTTTATATCGGTAATTCCACAGGATGATCATTTAAACTTGGTTTATACCAGGTCTCATGCAAACCTGTGCCTGGACAGGCACAGGGATGACACATAGGGAAGGAACAGACAATTCCTGCTGTAAGCCAAAGGAATGTGCAGGGGTGCAGTCAAGTAGAAAATGTGCCCGTTCCTCAGCAGCTGAAGGAGATTGCCCTTCCCTCCCCTACATCCATTGCTCCCAGCTGTAGAAAGACTCTGACCTGTCAGCATTTGCAGCCCTGCCTCCAACTCTTGACTCCTGCAGAGCTTTGTGTCTCACTGATCTGCATACCCAACAGCTGAATATGGAAAACAGATAAACTTCTTGTGATCTTGCCTGTCTTTTCTCCAGATGTTGTTCAGGAAAGCACGTTTGTGGGGGGATATCACATTGTTAAACAAGAGGGAGGGGATACCTTTCAGTCAGTAACATGACTATTTCCCCCTCTTTCTCTGAGCACAGCAGGGCAGCCCTTTGACTGTGACCGCTCAGAGATGATGGTCTGAGGAGTAGGTGAGCAAAAAGAAAAGCACTGTCAGATCTGGAAGCCAAGCTTTAAACCTGCCTGCTCCTCCTGGGGAGTATTCAGGGACATGAGACATGACACATCTCTTCATTGTGAATACCAAAGCAGCACTGCAGAGTACATGAAAGGTAAGAGTTTAGTGAAGCAGACAGTAGGAATTTTTGCTAATAAAAGCATTGAGCCAATATTCTCTGCATGTCTGTATGGGATTGACTAATGACCTCTCATGGTGAACGCCCATTTCACCGTTGCTCAAAGAAAGGTCAGGATAATTTTTATCTGTGGCACAAAGTTCTTTTACAGTGATTTGCAAACTTCTTCTCTTTTCTTGCCTATTGCTTTGGGGATTGAAATGAGAAGCTGCTTCTCTGAGGGACTCTTTTGCCCATTTTGACCCCAGGAAGAGTATTTCTATATGAAACTCTTAGACTGTCTAGCCAAC